AGCCAAAGCTGTCTGACCAGCAGCCACTCACACTCAATACAGAGTCAGTGTTGAGCTGCTAACTCCTGTCCTGGTGTGAGAGCCTTCTCCTGCTAGTAGCTGTTAGGAGCAGGGAGACCTGGTCCCTTTACAGAGAATGACACTTAAAAACAAGCAAATTTGAAACTCATTGTCTTCTGAAGGGCAAAGCAAAGTAGGGATCTTTCTACAACAGATAAAATTTGGGAGAAACGTCTATTTTTCATGTTGGAGTTAGGTGACATCTCTCTAGCAGAGAACCTAAAACACTGAAAAAACCTTTTTTAACTAGAGCTCACTTAAAGCTGGGCTTGTTTTCAAACGTGGTGTGTGCCACATACAGACTCTGCATGCGACACTGCACACCAGCCATCTGCTGAGGGTGATGTGAGGAGCGGCTGGGCTGTGGTGAGCAGAGAGGACACCGCACAAGCCACCTGACTTGCTGTGGACTCGGTCAGAAGCTGAAGCCGTCTGTGCCGGACTGGGGAGGGTTGGGGACCGGGAAAACCAGAGGCGAGCAGCTCCTTTCTCTAACGGTCAACTTGACCACGTGATGCTTACAAAAAAGAAAGCGGCACGCCCAGTGTCCACTGGCTGGGAAGGGATGCTTTAGTGAGTCATCAAGGGACTTCTCTCTGGGAACCGTGACAGGAGGTTAGGGCAGCTTATGGAGGTGGCGGGAGAGCCGGCGTGCAGGTGCAGCTTGCTGCATCAGTGCTGGGGCACTCATGCCGGTGCCTCCAGGGGGGCTTCTCTGCTGGCACAGCAAGCTGCTGACTGAGCTCAGCAGGGCTTTCTTTGGCAGGGAACCCTGGACAATGTGTCCCGCCCTCCTGACAGAATGGCATCCATGCTGCATGTCTCCTTGGTGGGCTGGGCTAACACCCATCATTTGAACATGCCCACCCGACCAAACATTTCACAGGACAATGGAATAGCTCAAGGACTCTGGATTTTCCCAGAATATTTTGAGATTCCAGAGAAGCAGAGCTTCTAATTATCAAGTGCCAAACCTTTCTTTAAAAAAACCTTAATTCCTCTCCAAGCATATCATATACTTCCCAGGCCTTTGTGAAGGTCTGAAAATACTAAACGTCCCCCCTCCCCCCCCAGATCTTTGATGGTGATAAAGGGTCAGGGATCACTGTGCATCTCTCTCTCTTTTTAAAATAAGTATATCTTTCTAAACTTGTTTTTGGGCAATGCTGACAAACTTTTATTTTAAAAAAATACTAAAAAAAATCTTGCTGGGCTCATGTTCTGCACTAAATGGAAGTGACCTTGAATTCCGCGGAGGAAGAAGCATCACAGAAGTCACTGGAGGGCCCAGAGAGCAGCAGGGAGACACCGGTGGCGGCTCAGCCTTGCACACACAGGCAGCCTCCTCACGTCCCACCCTGCAACCAGATGCTGGCTGTATCCACAGGCTAGCAAGCCAAATGGCACCGGTTGCCTGTCCTTTCAGTTGTGCGGTTGGTCGGGAACCCAAGGGAGTTAGTTACAAGGTGGTAGAGGGAGGGCAGAGAGCCTCCACACAGTTGGTGAGAGCTGGGAAGGACTGGGTCTGACCTTGGAACATGCAGCTGAGTGGACAGTCCTTGCTGTGTACGACCCGGGGCCCGGTGAGCGACTGACTGACCACAGTCCTATGTGTCCCACTAGACATCTTTGCTAAAAAGCAAGCCAGGGATTGGTGTTAACAAGGGGGTCTATCCTCAAATGCTGTTTCCATGGGGCCAGAAGTTACTGTTCTACCTCCTGACCTGATGGTAGAGGGGTGTCAAAAAGTACTGCTACTAGGGTCCCACTTCGCACGTGCATGGGCTCGCTCCATGTGTAAACGTGCCTCGGTCACCAGGGTGCTTCAGACAAATTCTGCCAGCAACACACTGCTCTCAGTCCTGCCAAAGTGCCACGGAACAAGACTGTTTTGAGGTCCAGGCTAATCCAACGTGTACATCTTCTCCAATCGCTGTAGCTTTGCCCTACGTTGACAGAAATCCTGCCTCACACAGAGCACACCTTTTAGGAGGATCTAGCATTTTGAAATCAAGGGAGACAGGTCAGCTCAGAATGTTAATGGCGACTCCGTTTTGGGATCCCTGTGAGCGTAGACACGGGATGATCACAGGGGCTCATTTGGAAGACGTTTTAAGAAGCCGGAAAGCTGCTTCCGTGAGGGAGCTAGGGAGCGTGCTGAGGATTCCCAGCTCGACAGTGCACCGGCTCATCCTTCAAGGGAAGCAAGGACCGGCCTATGCGTGTCATTGGCAAAGTTTACACCCTCTGCCCACAGCACTGATCTTGCCCCTTCAGACTTCTGTTTCCCAAACTGAGAGAGATGTTTCAAAGGAACGCAGTCGGTGCCCCAGCAGGGGGGCACCATGGCCCTTTTGACGGGGTGTCAGCAGAAGAGCAGGGAAGGAAACACCCGCCCTTCAGAAACGCACAGGAGTTGCTGAGAAATAGCACCCCGACATGTGGACATTGCTGTTGAATACAGGTTTGTAAGATGGGCTGTGGCGATACTTTTCGACGCAGCCTGAAGCATTTCTATACAAATGTGTGGAACCATCCATTCTACTTACTCCGCTGCTATGTCTCTCAGGCGTGTGTGTGTGCATGCGTGCGTGTGCCAGGTGCATGGCTTTGCTCTTTAGAGTACGTCTGAGCCAGGCCCCCTGGTAAACAGCTGTCAGGCCCGGGGCGAGTGGTGAGATCTGGCCAGCTGCGGCCAGATGGTGGACAGACCATCGCGGAGTCTCCCCGAGTGAGTCGGTGGCACCCTCCCTCTCTGCCGTCTTGTCCTGCCGGGTCCTGGGAGAGGGGCCTCCTGGGACAGAGCCCTTGCTCACCCAGCCCATAGTCTCCCTAGTCACCCTTCACCCCGTGCCTCAGGCTTCAGTTTGCAACGGTAGCACCCTGCCTGCCGGCCCTGCTCTCTGAAACCAAACCTCACTAGGGGCTGTGTGCCCATCGGTCACCGGGACACTAGCTTTCAGACCACAAGCTCACAACACACTGATAAAAGGAAACGGCTGTTGTGCACACACACGCTGACTTCTGCACCGACCCACAAAAACCGTCACAGAAAAGGAAAACAATTTGGTTTTTCCCGTAATAGGTTTGACAGCGGTTACTTATAGGTGGCCATGCCAGATTACAAGTGCTACTTGGTGAAGCAGTGCAGAGTATACATGGGGTCATACATATTTACAGGCAAGCAAAACAGCGGAGATCCTAGCCATTCTCCCCCCTCCCCGTTCCGAGAGTGGGAAAGGCTCGCCCATGCTGCTTTCTGGTGGCGCAGAGCTGCCTACGGGGCAGGGCCCGGAACCATGGGCGCGCACACACTGGCATGACGCTGGCTACAGCCACGCTACCAGCCTTCATCATTGAGAGGGACCTTTTCCTGCCAGAAGCCAAGGTGGGTCTGTTTCAACCCGGCGTCCCCTCCTTCCCGGGGCCTGGGCACTGGGTGCACACTGAGGCAATCTGTGGGGCCCCACACCCGGCAGATACTATGGCCAGCTCAGGGTCAGTGCCTTGGGGGACATCCCTGTGCCAGAATGTACTCTGGCAGTGGACTGAACAGTCTCCTCTGGGGCTGGCTTGCTGTCCTTGGAGAAAGGCAGCCTGACTTCACACCTAGCAGAGAGCTATCGCTGACCCTCTGGCTTCTGGGGGCTGAGCAGGAACAGCCCTAAGCAGGAGAGAGGTTCAGAGTTCTTCTGTGGCTCAGTGCTAAGACTCCTCTTCCCTCGGGATGAGCCCGGGGTCCACCCTGTCATTCCAGGGAGAGACTGGGGTCTCTGGGGTGCCTGAAGTGCAACCAAATGCTTTTTTTTTTTTTTTTTTTAAACCTGGGGCAACTCATCTTTACTCAGAATACCACAGCGGTGTCAGGTCCCCTGGGCAGGTGGGGCCCGAGGGTGTCTAAGCTGGCCCACTGAGAAACCAGGGCCCTGCAGGGCTGCAAGGCACTGGGAGTTGCTGGGGGGACACCTGGGGTTCCCCAAAGCAAATGTGATGCTCACACAGGGAACAGCAAGGACTCCTCCAGCATCCGAGCCCAGGCCTGCCCAAGAGGACACCTGTGGCTCTCTGTGCAAGTCACGGGGGTGGACAGCTGACAGTGAGAGCTCCACAGAAGCCCTGCGGGCTCTGTCCTGTGTTGCACAGAAGGGCCAGGCCCATTTTAGATGAGACCATTCTTAAAAACAGATCTCATTTCCTTCTGCTTGCAAACATGGAAGAATAGGTGCACACAGGTGAGGAGTCTTGAAATGGTTCTGTGCCCTAGCAAGAAGAGCGTACACATGGTAGCTCAACTAGAGACCGAGCAAGAGGATGTTGACGTTGTGCGACCCCAAGTCCAGGGAATGAATGCAGGCATTAATACCACGTGCTAACTGCCCTGTGAGGGGAAAACTGACCATGCCTGGGCAGCCCGGGGCGACCAGAGGGCTCCGCCAAGTACTCACCGGGCCAGGTGGTGCTTACGCTCCTCACCTCATGGGAGCCCTGGTTTTTGTGGGGTCATACCCAAACCTAACGGCCGCACGGCGTTTCTGGGAAGTTACAAAGACCTCGCTCCTCCGACGAGCAGAGAAGGGAAGCTGTTCGTGTGAGGCCCCTTGACCCGGCTCTCTGAGAGCAGACTGCTGAACGAGGGTGCTCCTGGGGCTGGACCAGTGAAGCCGGAGCTCAGAATCTGGCGGCGGCGGCGAGCAGTTTCAGGACACACAAACCGCTCTCCCGTTGTCTTGACCCACACCGGACTCCTCTCAGGCTTCTGACAAGCCACGCGACGCTTTCTTTTCTCCTCCTTTCTCTCTGGCAGATTCTCCACGGGGAACAAGTCATCCTTCACGATCCAGTTCAGAACCCGGGGCTGCAGGTCAACACTGACGTCACTGAGAATCCCAGGATGCTCAGTGACCAAGAACGAACACTGAGGAAGGATGGAGGGGCTGGTATTTGTGTGCAAGATTTAATAAAAAACAAACAAGATTAGGAATGGTTGCTTCCAACAGTCAGGTGGAGCGCTGGGACGTGGTTCTAAGCTGCGTCGGTGGGACAAATACAAGACTGTGTCCTCCCCTGTGTCGGCCCTCAGAGGGGTCCTGGGGCTCCCCTCTAGCTTTTCCCTTCGGCTAGTGTGCTGCAGTGCTGTGGCCCAGGCAGCCCGTGACCACGACCTGATGGCTGTGCTGGACCCAGAGGGTGACCGTGGAGGCCAGCCAAGCTCAAGGGGTGCTCAGCTCCAGAGGACCCAGAACAAACCACTGCACGGGCGCCAGGGCAAGAGCTGCCGTGGCCATGGTCCCGGTGCCCGTGCAAGACAGAGCTAGCTTATTGGCAGGCTGTTGGCCTTAATACTGACAGTTAGTGTGGTGGTTAGAGTAAGGACGGGGGTGCCAAGACAGATGCCTGGTCCCCAGCTGACTGACTCATTTCTGGAAAGAGCTTTGATAAGACACTGGGAGGCTGGAACCCCCAGGCAGGTACATGTGTGTGCAACCCTCGACACAGCCCCATGTCCCTGTGTCCCTGCCAACAACAACAGCAAAAAGTCACGTCAGACAGGGAGCAGCGCCTAGTGGGCCGCTGCAAGCTGAGGAGGCATCCAGGTGGGGCGGGAGGCATCTAGTCCTTCTTCAAGTCCCTGGATTCAAAGAGCTTCAGCCGCTCCTGCACCGTCAGGCCTTCCTTCAGACTCTGGGTGGGGAGGAGAGAGCAAACAGGCAGGTTGTTAATGCCACCAAGCCCAGGCTTCAGCGGATCCGGATTTAGGTCAAAGAGCTCTTATGGGGTGTTGGCAGATGAAGGGGGGAGGGTGCAAAGGCAGAGAGGAGGGGGTGCCTCCTTGACAGAGATTAGTGGGCATGCCAAGGAGAAAAATGTCCTGTGAGGTGGTAGTTACAGGTGGGACGCGCTGTAGTCTGAAGGTTACTGGGTGACAAGGGGGAAGAAATCAGCAAGACAGACCGTGCGATCCAGAAGCTGGATTCTGAGACAAGCAGCCTGGTACCAGCCTGGTCCAGCTGGGAAAGCATGCCAGGCACTCGTGCAGAGTGCTCGAGATCTCCGACTCCTCTCGGCTCCTCAGTACTCCCCCCAGGCCCGGGGCCCTCACTGCCCTGTCCTGCACCTGCAGGGCCTGCTCCCCTCTGGGCTTTTCCTCTGACGACCTACCAAAGGCTACAGTGACTCTGGAGCATGCCAACATATAGACTCAGGTTTTCGCACTAAAACCAATGCTGTCTCTGTAGAATCCTGGAACTTGGAGATGAATGGCATTTTACTAAGGGGGGAATCTCCCTGTACACTCACTCACTCACTCACTCACTGTTAGGGGACGTCCACCAAAGATTCACTTCTGGATAAGAAAAAAACCCACCATGGCTCAGAGAATGACAAAATGCACAGGGTCCTAGCATCTAGGGACAACCAGTTCCATTTTCAGGTTGTCTTCCTGGACAGTAATCCTCTGCAGAAAACCTCACTGCCCATTTTTTAGGAAGACAGGCCGACTTGGATTTGCTCATCCCACGTGGTCTGTAAGTGCCGGAGCAGGCACCGGCATGGGCTCTAGACCCATCTGCTACAGGACAGTCCCGGGAATCGGATGTTGGGATGCAGGACCGGCTTGGCCCCCAGGGCATGGAGACGTGAGCCCGACATCAGTCTGGACTCCACAAGACTTCTGGGTACTGCAGTGGGGGCCAGTCAGATCCCGAGTCGGATCTATTAAGAGCAGGGGGTGCTAACAGAGGCCTGGGGTCCTGGGCCCCTCAAAGGTGAGAGTGGGTTCCGGTATCCCCTTCTCACCCAGCCTCCTCCAGATTAGCTGTGTTTTTAACAAACCCTGGCTATACACGTGTGTGTACATATACACATACTCGAATATATGCAGATGCATGAGTGGAAGACGGAAGGTGCTCGACCAGGAAACCTTGGGAATGTTTGGACGCCTTTCCCAGAGTGCGGAGGGAAAGGGAGCAACTCCCCTTCTCACTTAGGACAGGGCCCTCTGACTCCTCACGGAACACACACAGCCAGCCGGCTCCAGGTGGTGGTGGTGGCCAAGCCGTCCCAAGCCACAACCCAGACCTCCGGTTCCAAAGATTAGCCCTACAGGCCACGCCTACTGTCTCAGCTGGGGGCAGTTAGGCAAGGCGCGGTGTGTGTTGACCATAGGTACCCTGTGGACAGGGGGCCTTTGCTGCCTTGGCAACCCAGTCTGAGCAGGAACCAGAGGCCCATGCCGTGCTCAGGAAGGGTTGACCATGGCAAACAGGCATGAAGGGGTGTCCTATCCATGGTAAGGTCCAGCCTTCCAAAACAGCACCTGACATACCACACCTCTCGCCCAGACAAGGGGTGCTCCTCTATAAGCCAGTGCCTGCTTCCCCCCAGAGCCCAGGGCTGCCTGAGACCGCAGCTGTCCCCAGAGCCCTGGGGCTGCCTCTCTCAGGGCCCCACACTCACATGAGGGGTACCCGGCAGTCTACTACTAGGCTCACCACCAACACAGGCACTTTCCAGGACCCAGGGAACATTTCTCCCAGTCTCAGCCCCAGAAAGGGCCATGCTGCTCTTGTTGCTTTTACTCTGTGAGCAGTGGGACTGTTTATCCTTTTGAGGTGAGGCACAAGAGAACAGGAAACCGGAACACAAGGACAGATATAAACAAACACACACCAGATACCACGGCAACCAGAGCTGTTCTGTTTCTGGGCAGCCTCTTCCTGTGGCGGCAGGGCGCAGGGGACAGGGGCTACGGTTTCCCAACGACAATAAGGGCGGGCATTTCCCATGTACACACGTCCCTTAGTGCTGTGAGGACCCAGGGTCATCCAGGCCACAGTGGCACCTCACCATCTGAGAGACCGGGGCAGCAGGGTGTCCTGCACACCAAAGCTTTCTCCAGATGTGGAAGTGTGGGCGGATCAGACACTACCATATCAAGAAATCAAGCCAGGACTGGAAGGCATCTGTAGACGGGGGAATCCCTGCACTCAGGCCTCCCATACGGAGGGGACAGAGAGCGAGCTGTCACACTGGGGAGAGCGAGAGATGGCAAAAAAGAGCAGTGGCAGCAGGACCAGGGGACAAGCAAGTGACACCTTGGTGGGCTTCCTGGGCCAGAGAGAGGAAGCAGAATGAATGCCTTTGGGCAGGTGCCTTGCAGGCAGGGTGGGGTGTCTCCAGGCACTACTGGCAGAACTAAAGAGCTTTGTAACACTCCTGGAACAGAGGCCGAGGAGCCTCAAGGCCAGAAGGGCCACCCAGCTGAGAGGCCAAGGGCCCGAGAGAACTGGGCCCATGAGAACATCTGAAAAGCGGTTGTCCTAACTGAAGAACGGTGCCGCGTCAATCCCGGACTGTAGCCCCCCTTCCCCCCCATGAGTACTGTGTGAGGTCTGAGCGGCCACTGCAGTAAGTGATTGGACACGGAGAGAAGCAGAGGGTGCTGCTGGTGTCGGAACTGGTAAAAAGGCTGGAGGTTGTCTGCCCTCAGCCTCAGCCAGGACACCTGTACAGGTGGCCTCAGAAGCCATGTTCACTGACTCACATAGGCAGAGGACTTGGTGAGAGAGAGAATAAAGGGGGGAGGGGGAGTGAAACTTTTGACTCTCAGAGGGTGACCTTGGTTGCAGTTACCTGCACAGGCTCAAAGGAAAGCTAAGAGAAGATCAATCTGATGCAGCTGAGGGTTAAGCCCCATCTGGAGAGGCCTGGGTTTACAGTCCAGTGGACGCAGCTACGGACGGGCCTGAGGCCCAAGGCCACATACACATGGAAATAAGACAGTTACACTTTGAAGATGAAATTGGAATGTTTCTCAGACCTACTGTCCTAAAACAAAATGAATCTCCAAAATACTCACTGCCAGGGAGTTGTTGAGACAGCTCTTTCGGATTTCCAAGGTTACAGGAGCAGAAAGCCCCACCTTTCTCCTGTAGCGAGGCTAGCAGCTTCGAACTGCTGACCAAAGCATAACCCATTACAGCACAAACAACCCAACTCACGGCCATCAGGTTGTACCTTAAACAGACCCTGTGAGAGAGAGCAGCACCGCCGTGGGTTTCTGAGACTGACTCTCCAGGAGCGCCTCCCATTCGCCTGCAGTGTCCAGCTGCTGGACTTAGTTAGCAGCCCAACATGCCTCCGGGAAAAACTGGGTTTCTTCTCACAAGTCATTAATTAGTACTAGTGGGAGCTAGGTTGAAAATTTTGCATTTGAAAAGACATGAAGCCCTACCCAGAACTGCTAAGAGAACTGATTTGCATGAGAAGAAAGGGCATGGGTGGGGTGTGAGGGGCAGACAGAGTGAGAGTGAGACTGGGAGCTGACCAGAACTCCAGGGACGGGAGCCAGAGGTTTGCCATCACTGAGCTGGTGTAGCTCGCTGCAATCTGATGGCTTTCTCCGGAGTGGCCTTTGCTTTGGATGCAGATGCTCGACTTTCCATCCAGAATGAAAGACTCTTTACAAGGTACGTGATCGTATCCTCAAAGTGCTGGCTTAATTGGAGGCGGGGAGGGGAACAATTTAAACACTGGGAGGGCGATAAGGAGAGAAGTGGCTGGCTGACATGCTCACATGGGTGTCCAGAAACTCAAAATGAGGACAAAGGGATCCTCTTTTCTTGGGGTCTAGGGAAGAGGGGTGAGGGAAGATGTGGATACGATTATGACTCAGGTGTGAGTACAGGAGTGCCAGTTGTAGAGGCTCGTTGGAAGAGTGGACTACGGGCGAGGCACTACTGGACTGGAGTACACTGGCCGAGCCTCAAGTCCCTTAAAAGTCTCGCTGTGCCTCATGAAGCTCAGAGCAAGGAAACAACCTTCTCTCCGTGGAATTGTATCAGACTCCAGAAAGGGTGCAGATGAGGTGGCTATCTGCAGGACCTGCCTAGATCCCCGGGACACCTGCAGATGACCCGTATGGCTGGTATTGAGTAAACTTGTCCTGTGGACACGTTGCCTTACTGAAGGACTGTTCACTGTTAGTGACCATTTTGGACTAGTGAAATGATTATAGGGGGAAGTTAATTCTTCCAATAGGATAGGGTCAATGGCTAGAAGAGCTCTAGGGTGCAAGTGAGTTACCTGATATGGGCTATGTAAATAGGGTGCTGTGGTTCATCAAGGGGATTAGAGAATTGGCTAATACGGTAAATAAGGTGCTAGGTACCCTGCACCCTTGTGGTGGGGTGACTATGCAAATAAGGTGTAATGAACTTTAACATGGGCCTTGAGAGGCTTAATGTGAGCCATTCCAGAGGTGGGAAGTGAGACCTCAAGCCACCAAAAAAGAGGAGCCAGAGTAGAACATGTCTGTAAACTTGGCAGGTCTGTACTGAGGACACGGACACACACACACACACACACACACACACACACACACACGCTGCAGTATGGCAAGCAACAGCAGCAGCAGCAAACACAGCAGAAGGAGCAGAGCAGAAGGTAGGCAGGAAACGGCTTCCTGGCCCAGAGAGTGAAAACAAAGCCGGGTTGCCAGGATGGGGTGCCTCCAGTTACTTATCAGAAGAACTAACGAGCATTATAACACTTGTCCAAACAGAGGAGAGGCTGAGGGGGACCATGGGTCAGAGAGTGTCATGCCTGTGGGTACAGCTGAGAAGAAGCTATTGTGCCTGGAAAACTGTATGCTGAGCTGTTTTCCACCCTGATTTTGTAACCTTTACTTCCCAAATAAACCTATCATTGTGAGTGATGTCTGCGCTCCGTGTGGCCACTGCTAGCAGTTATCAGACCCAGCAGAGAGGGAGTGTGTGTCACGGGAGGGAATGTTGGTGTCAGAATTGGTAAGGCTGAAGGAGGAGGCCTGTCTGACTCAGCTCCGTAGAAATGATTCTTCCCACAGGAAGCTAGAGGAGGACAGCCACCTGGCCGGGCCTCCATCACTGTTTCCTGGACAGCCAAATGTTCAGATCCTGTAGAAAACCTCGAAGTTAACACACCCTCACTTCAAACAGGAAACAGAATCTTCAAGGAGAAAACTGTAAGCACGCGCGCACACGCACACGCACATGCACACACACACAGAGCATGCTTTCTTTCCTTTGCTAAACAGAAGGTTTTTCATGTTTAACACTACATTTCCTTTTTAAATAATTTTAAATTTCTTTTTAACACTGGAGTTTATGGACATTTCTTATGCACCTATTTCTATGGCCATGCATGCATCAAATTAAATTAATATGTGAACAAAACCACTTATTTTCTTTTTAAAACAACTGATTTTATTTAAAAGCAACACAATTATACACTATGAACTTATAAATGAAACTATGTGATACTATGAGGGGGTACCCCCCAAAACCGGAAGTTTTTCAAAGCTGTGTATTTAATTTCCCTCCCCAAAACCAATCTTATGACCTGTAAGGTACTTTCCATTACACTTAATACATTTGTCAAATCTGTAATTCCATTCTTGGAAACATTTTTCAAATGCATCTGTTTGGATGGCTGACAGCACCTCCCTTGTTTTTCTTCACCTCTTCTACTAAGTCAAATCGCTGTCCTTTCATGTCCCTCTTCATTCGAGGAAACAAAAAAGAAGTCTCAGGGAGCGAGTCAGGTGCATGGGGCAAGAGAGGCATGCTGTTTTTTTGTGTGTTTTTTTTTGCCAAAAACAGGTGCACTGAGACAGCTGCAGGTGCACTGTGGTGGTGGCAGACCCCTGTGTGCCACAAATCAGGACTTCTTTTGTTGCACGTTGTTATGCAATCTTTTCAGAACCTCTAAATCGAAAGCTTGATTAACAGTCTGACCTGGTGGAATGAACTCCAAATGCACTATCACATCAAAAGACAAATGAGCATCATCTTGACCTTTGATTTCACCGGATGAGCTTGTTTTGGGGTGAGGTGCTGATGGCATCTTCCACTGGCTTGACTGATGCTTGCTTTCAGGGTCCTAAGAATAGCACCCTGTCTCCTCACTCAGAGTGGTTTTTTCAGAGCAAGGCACGCTTCCACTCCACGCTCCTCTTTTTCCTGCTCAGTCAGAACCCGAGGCACATGTTTCACAGGGACCCTTCTCATTCCCAAATCTTCCGTTAAAACTCGCTGAGTCGAGCAACAGGATAGTCCAGATAACTCCCATCTCTTCAATGGTCCATTTTTGGTCTTTGACCACAAATGCACGAATTCTGTCGACATTTTCTTCCATTCGGAAGTTCACAGAGGTCCAGAAAGAGGTTTGTCATCAATCGACAGTTCACCTTTTTTTGAAATGAGAAAACCACTCATACAGTTGAGTTTTTCCTGTAGTGCTGTCCTTGTAAAGCTGTGTTAAAGATCACAAGTTTCTGCGGCAGTTTTCCTGAGCAGGAAACAAAATTTCACAGCAGCATGCTGTTTTCTTAAATCAACCCTCACAAAAAATGAGGTTTGAGCGAAACTGCTTTTACAAAAGAATTCACTGTGACCAGAGAGAACCTTCCCAGGTGACACCACTAGATGCACTAACTCAGATGGAGTTGTCCAAAGCTTGCCTAACGGGAAAAATGTGTACTATGAAAGCTCTGCCCAGCAGAGGTTTTTTTCCGGTTTTTGGGGTACCCCTCATATATCTTTATATGACATTTACAGTATTTAACATCACACATTTGACCTACTGGGCTGGAGGTTTAAGGGTCACTTAGGACGGTCAGTATGACCATTTCTGCTGCACTGTTTGTCTTTACATTTGATGTAAAGAACTTTTGGACTATGTTTGTATTTTTTTACTGAAGTAGTAATGCTTTCATGAATGAAACCAATTTGCTGGGATTAATACTCAATTTATGTTCACATCAAATCGATATGTATCTGTAGCGATAGGTACACCACAGAGAATTTTGAGATGAGAAGGCTTAGAAGCAAATGAGCCTGGATGTGCATCTGTCCAGTAGATGAAAACCAGCGTGAAAGGCAGGAGGTGAATGTAAAGAGCGCTGTAGTGTTCCATGAGGAAAATGAACTGTGTCTAGAGGACGAGTCACGGAAACCCTAGTGTCAAAGAAAAACACCTACGTCTTTCTCCAGTCAAACCGGAACCATCTAAGTGACAGTGACTTGGAACTAGAAAGGGAGACACACTGTACGAGAGGCTGGGTTTGACACACTCAGATTTGTATGTTGAATTGTGTCCTGAAGCAAACACACAGCCAATGAGCCAAGCTTCTGTTGCCAGTCTAGCTCAGGGGCAACCTTAGTGACCCCCGCTGCCTGGATAGCGCCTGGGTTCTTTCTGCTTCACCTAATAATTGAACAAGGGAGACCCCAGAGGCTCAGCCAGTGACCACCCTCGAGCAAGTGGCTATGTTGAAAGGCGGGCAGGAGGGCGGGTCTTCGTGGAGGTGGGGGCTACTCCCATTCCTCTCCCCTTTATAAGAAAGCCCTCAGATGCCACCAGTGAGATACCTTTTAAAAAGAGAGGTGCTATTAAAATACTGAACCCCCAACTACTTGCCGTGATTTTTACTCCTGTCAGTTTTGCAAAGCATCTCTACCTCTGCTCTTCTGAACACCTTCAACGCTACAGGCCACGATTGGTTAACACCCTGGAGGTACCCAACAGCCTTGAAGACAGAGAGAAACTTCTACAGGGTGGCGAGCTGAATGGGGTTAACCTGCCTGTGAACCTGGGCTGAGCTAGTCTGGGATGGTGAGTGTGGCTTGTCAGCGCAGAGAGGTGGCTGGGACCCCTTATGGACAGAGGGCATGCTGGGTTTCCCAGAGTGCATGAGCGGGCTACTGGGCATACATTGGGCATCTCATATGCATGCTGCCGGGCCCAGGGCACACAATGGCCTTCAGGCTGAGAGCGTGTCTTTAGCCAGGGGTCAACTCTGAAGAGGTCATAGAGCTAACTCCCTCCCTAGGACAGGTTAGAGGGCTTCCTTGAGCTCTTCTATGTGATTGGCGAGCAGGATGGATGAAAACAAGGGTGATCAACAGGCGTCTGACATGACGGTGTGAGCAGTGCATGCAGAGTGGGCCCCCAGGCGGCCAGGTGGTGGTGAGAGGCGTTTACCTACACGACAGGGGACCTGGAATCGGGCTCGTTTCAGTTATCCCATGAGACCTGCTCAATTACGGACTGTCGGGGAGAGAGCAAAATAAAACAACACACACAATAAATCCTAAGTGATCAGGTGCAGCATCCCCCACCCCCACCCGTCCTGGGAAGCTCACAGGTTTTCCCCCACAGTGCACAGGAAGGCCGTAGGCACCACAGGCTTGAGGGCAGGTAGCACAATATGACGACAAGGACATGCAGGTACAGCTGGCACAGGACACTACAAGGCCCAGGGGATGGGGGTGGGGGTGGGGTGAAGCTTGTTCTCCTAGACTTGTGCCCTGGAGAAGCCTCACTACTGCATGGACAATGCCAGTCCTGGTGGGCAGACCAAGCCTGGCCTCCCTCGCAGCTAGGGGCCAGTGTGATCTGGGGCTTTGGGCTGTGCTGGAGAGGCCGCCTGTGTCCCCTGGGAGTCTGGCTGGCTCCTGGGTTGGAGTTGTGCTCGTCCCCCAAATGTCTGCTCAATCCCCAGAGGTTGGACAATGAACTCACCTTTGACCTGATATTTCTGAGTTGCCGGCTGACACAGGATCTGTCTTTCTTCAAGAAGTCAGGGTTGCTTTTAGATTTCATGATATCTGAAGGGACAGACAGAACTGTTGTTTTTGTCTTCCAAAACCTCTGGCACCAGACGACAGACACACTTAAAATTTCTAAAGCTTGCTCTTACAACCACACATTCTTTGACCACTGCATTTCCTAAACAACATGGCCAGCTCAGAGAGGAAAACAGGAGGACTCTTGTGGAGGACTCTTGGAGACGCAGAATGCCATGGCTGTTGGTCTTTTGAAAGAGGTCAATGTGGCAGTCACATGAAGGCCTGGACCCTGGCTCAGCGACGCCGACCTTCAATGTGACATTGTGCACACTCACCCAGGAGCCTCCACGGGCATGCTGACAAAAGGCGCCAGCCTCCTACCTGCCTCTCAGGGGCCTTTTTCAGACATTACAGGCAACACTGGGCTCAAGCATGGAGGGAGAGCTGCTTACCCCACCCTCATCAGACAGAGATGGGCCCCCAGGGCTCCACCCTTCCACGGCAGAGCAAGCGGCATCAGGAAGAGCAGGGGCCCTGCTGCTCTGAGAGAAGGGTCTCACCATATCCAGACACTGCGGTGTTTTCGGGGGGTTTCTCGCCCAGTGCTTCCGTAGCTGCTTTTAGCTGCTCCTTCAGCCGACTGATGTCACAATCTGCCTTTGCCTTCACGATGCTGAGCTCAGTGTAGATGTCTTTGTACTTATCGCTGGCATATTTCTTGTCCTTGGAAATCAGACAACAGAGGCACATGGTCCTTAGGCCGGTGTTGGTGCCTCACCATAAACCACGGGGCCATCTTCCTGCTGGCACAAGACCTGGACACTTGTCTAGCTGTGGTGCATGCTGGGGTAGTGTAAAGCCAGGGGGAGCCTGATGCCATGGTTACTGCGAGGCAGCCACCTGAATTTCTGGAACCTCCCTCTGAGAGCTCAAGAGAAGGGGTGCCCTGGGCTGCCCATGCCTGCTGCTGTGGGCCCTCCACCAGCAACTGGTCAGTCAGCCTGTGAGCTCTTGTCTGTAACCACATCTGCTTGATGATGTCACTTGCACATTCAAAGTGACCCGCCTTCCCCAGAAGGGAGTCAGCCATGTCCTCTATTTGATTCCAAGAATCCCCTGGAGGAGACAAGTAGGGTCTGCCAACCTGACAGCAGGCCAGGCCTCTAGTAGCTTGTGGAGAATGCACAGGGACTTTGTGCTCCCCCCTCCCCACCCCTGCCCCCAAGGACAAGACAAAGGAGTCCTCCGTTTGTGACAAGTGACTGCAGACTGTGGTTTCCCGAAAATCTGCCCATGAAACTGCTCTCTGGAGGACGACATCTCTCTAGAACGGCTGGGGTGGGCGTGTGGGGTCCCCGGCTCCCCAGGTCTGGGGCCTCCGAGCAATCCAACCCTTACCCGCAATGCAGTCTGCAGCTCGTCCTTGAGAGAGCTGATCTCCTGCTTCAGGTACTGTATCTCTGACTCCTTGACCCGCAGTAACACCTGGAGAGGGCGAGGAGTCAGGTCAGGGCCCTTCCTGTAGGGTCCCGTGAGCCCTCCACCCCAGACGGCGTGCCACTTCCCACGGCGCCTAGACACTCAGCATGCAATTGAGATGACCAGAAGCTGTGGAAAGGTGAGGGGACTCAAACAAGGTGCTGTATCGTTTTAAGCAGGTGTACGGTTACTACACGTGACGGCTGTAAGTCGCTGTGATGAAAAGGAGAGAGTGTCAGAGAGGGGGCTGGACTTGGACCACCGCAAACTGAGAGCGGCCCCTCCCGGAGGTGGCCCCTGTGCTGCCTCTTCCACCGTTAGGGAAAAAGCATTCATTCATTCATCTCTTCCTCCCTCCCTCCCACACTGTCAGCCAGGGACCACAGCTGCTCTTGTTCGGGTCTTGAAGAGTACCTCTAACTCATAGGCGTCCTTGCCCTGTGTGAGGGGTGAACCCCCAGCCTCCCCTCCGCCGTCTCCGGTCAGCAATGTCCGCAGCCGTGTGATCTCTGCAGCCAGGCGGTTATTTAACTCCTGCAGGAGAGCAACACAACAGGAGGGACACTTGACACAGAGGCTTGGGACCAGGAAAAGACACGGTCTCACCCCAACATGCAGGGTCAGCCCTGCGAGCAGAAGGTGATGCATATGCACACACGCCAACCTGAACAAGGGGAGGGTGTCACTACCTGCCACTACCCAGGGTCCTTGTACAAGTGATTTACGAGCGTATGAAACAGCACACCCATGACATGAGCACCCCCCCACTCTCTCTCGTAGACCAGCTGCCACCTCGTTCACTCCAACGGGGCCCACAGTGGCTGGCTTTTGTCACCAGGCCTTTCTCTTGAGGTGCATCGGGTAGACTTGAACCATCAACCCTGTGGTTAGCAGCTAAGCACTGAACTCTTTGTGATGCCTACAAGAACAGGTAAATCTGTCCCATGGTTTCTCTCATCGAGTCTGGGCCCTGCTGCTCGCTCCCTCCCCCTCGCATCTGCTGCACTTCCTTTTCAAGTGACACATTCAGAGATGGGAAGAGATGACGGTATTTTAGTGTAAGCAAAAGGGCTGGGACAAGTGACCCTGATCACAGCAGCAGGCTCAGGTGAGCAACGCAGCTCTCGCTCAGTCCTCTGCTTCTGTGTCCCCCGCCACCCGCCCACACAGATCAGATGGCCCCGGAGTGGCTGAGCGCCGGCGTGGCTTACCTGGTTGTGGGCGTTTAGCTCCTGGTTCTCTCGCTGGCACTGCCGCAGGGCCTGCCTCTCAGCTTCCAGTGCCTGGACCAGGTGGGCGTTCTCCAGGCACTTCTGTGAGTACTGCTCGGAGAGCACCTCCAGCTCCCGCTGCACCGACTGCAGCTCCTCCCTGTGGGGAGAGCACCACTCACACCAGCCTCCCTACTGTGGGCCGCAAACCGCTTGTCTTTGTGGTGCACTGAGACGCTCAGAAACTCAGAGCCACAGAGAGCAGGCCTGGTCAATTTGTTCTCTCAACCATTTTTTTTTTTACCCATTTGAAAAATAAGGGCCAACTCACGAAGTACTTGGGTTTATAGACACTGTGCCCTTCCTTCGGCCTCTTTCAGACAGGGCCCTGAGCCTGGGATATACCTGTCTTTGCATGGCTGTCTCTTGGACCATCGTGCGAGCTCCTCAGACACAGGGACACTTGGTTCCCACAGCCCAGGCTGCAAGTGCTAATTCTACATGGGAGAAACCAACACGGGCTTGCCCTCTGCCCCCTGTGCCAAGGGGAGGAGACACCGCTCTGGGTAGGGCCTCCGTGTCCTCGTGCAAGGGATGGGAATAAATTCATCAGGGGTGGCTGCAGAGACTGTCCTAAAGAACAACTAACAGGAGGGGACTTGACAAAGCTCTTGGAAAAATGCATTAAAAGATAGTGGAATTTCCCCACGAAATCTCTGAAGCCCTCTCACGTTTTTAAGGGTTCATTTGTTGCTCCCTATTCCTTAGAGTTCAGCAGCCATTGCTCATCGGTTTGCTCATTAACAGGAAGCTCCCACTCGGGCCATGTTCTTGTCAGAGCACAGCAGTTTAAAGAGGGCACCGCCCCAGGGGGGTTTGCTGACTGAGGGGCTGCAGGAGGTGCCCCCACACGGTGCTACACTGCCCGGGGCGCAGCCCCTGAAGCCGGAGGACTCACAGGTACTGTCGCCTCAGGGCTTCGATGTCCGAGTTGATGCTGCTGATCTGGGAACGCTGGCTCTTCTCCAGCTCCCGCTCCATCTCCTCCCGGTGGGCGTTCTTCATGGCCTCGATCGCTGCAAGGAGCAGGGGCACAGGCTCAGCACAGGAGGCGGACGGCCCCTCGGACGGCAGGCCCCCCGCACCAGGTGTGTGAGGGCCGAGCGCCCACTGAGCTTTCTTCCCCAGAAGGGACAGAATTTTCTCGCTAGGACAGTGGGCCGATTAACTAAGCTAAGCGCCAATGTTAAGTTCATGTCCGAGTTCATAAAACACGCAAGTGTTCCAGTGGGCTTATTTTCTCCTTGGCGCTGACACCACGACGGTCCTCTATCAGTATCACCGAGCATCCAAGTGAAGTGCTGGTGCTGGACTGAACAGAGGCCTCCCTATGGAGGTGCCGGGGCCTGGCTCTGGGCGTTGTCTGTCTGGAACAGGGGTCTTCAAACTTTTTGAACAGGCGGCCAGTTCACTGTCCCTCAGACCCGTTGGAGGGCCGGACTACAGTTTAAAAAAAACTATGAACAAATTCCTATGCACATATTTTATTTTGAAGTAAAAAACAAACAGGGCAAAAACACCCAGCGGGCCGGATCAATGTCCTTGGCGGGCCCACAGTTTGAGGACCCCTGGTCTGGAATAACCAGGCCCCCGGCCCCGGGGCCACCCACCTGAGATGGTGGCAGCGGTCTCCTCTGCCAGCAGGCGGTCCTTCTCCTCGCGCAGCTTCTCCAGCTCTCGCTGGTGCTGCCTCTGCAGGTCCTCAATCTTTTTCTGGTGCGTCTCCTCCATGGCTGCAAACCCCCGCTCGCATGTGGCCTGCAAAACGCAGCAGGCTGTTGGCTTTCCTCTGGACTTCCAAGTTGGGTTTCCTGTCTCCTAAGTAGCTGGCCCCTGACTGCCCCACCAGCCTCTGGTGGTGGGTGCGCTGGCTAATGAGGCCTCCGGGCACTTGAGTGCCGTTAGAGCACAGGTAAAGACGGTGTTTGCACTGGTCAGTTCCGCGTCTCATTCCCATGTGACTGCTGTGAACCCCCTCTCTTCAGAAAGGGGGTATTGTGGGTGGGAAGCAGGCGCAGAATTTGGAACGGTCAATCCTGGACTTCCTTGGCACAGGCAGTGAGAACTCATGCTGAGACTCTCACTGCTCCTGGTTTGGAGCGTAAAAAGCTCTTGGTGCCAGGCACAAACCAGGCACTTCTTAGGTGGCTAATATCCTTCCTTCCCTTTGGCCTACGATACACTTTCTTTTAAAGGTGTGCAAAGAAGGGCACACACAGAACTACTCTCCATACCATGCCCTGCTACCTTGACAGGACACACATGCCCCAGGAAGGGATCACTGGTCACGGCCCACACCAGGAGGGCCAGCTTGTGGACAACAGTTCTAGGTGTTGTGTTGAGGGTTTGCTGCTTACAGTCTACAGCCCTGCAAGAGCCTCCAGATGAGGGCATGTGGCAAATCACATTTTAAAGGCAAATTTGGTTGTGGGGGTGGGATTGTCTGCCAACCCCCCCCCCCCCCCCCCCAGCGGTTCAGGAATGTTCAAAGT